GTCCCGTCCCGTCCCGTCCCGGGGCCCGCGGGGGAGCGGAGCGGAGAGCAGCGCGTGGGGGATACTCCGCGGGCGAGCCCGCCTCAACGTGCGCTTTCTCCCTGTGTAGCCTTTGCTGGAGGAGGGCGAGACTTGGAAGGAGTGTCAGCTCGTCCGGCAAGTGAGCGGCGAGGTGAGGAGAAAACCGTTCGCAGCTGTACGTTGCCCCCCGCTTCTTTCCCTTGCAGATGTGCTCCTTGGGTTTTCCACCTGACATCCCCTCCCCACCCCGCCACGCTTTCGCTTCAAAAAAATAACTGCTTTCGTGTTAGGAATAAAAATATTTGTATGGGGGAAAGAACCCAAGTGTTATTACTCTGTTTACTCTATTAAATAATAACAACCCCACCATCTAAATTTGGCGTTGGTAGTCTGGAACAACATTCGAGTGGGTGGCTGGAAATAAATTTCATACTTCAAATAGAAGGTGTAAGGGATAAAGCGCAGAGATTTTCCCCAGGATTTTTGCACACTGCAATGGTAACTTTCCATTTGGTAACCTGGTATGGCACCAAACACGTTCTTTGTGCAAAAACCCTTAAACTGAAAGCTCTGAGATGAAGAACACCACCTCACACTTTGACCATGCACAAGTAACTAACCAGATTACCTAAGACCATGTCATTCTAGATGGGAAAAGTGCTTTTCCTCTTTCCAGCGGAGCAATGGCAAAAAGTGTGTTGAGTCTGTGTATGGCTTCTTACTAACGCTGAATAACTAACTGCACTCGGGTTGCATCTTCTTCCTAAAAAAAGCACTATGGTTTTGAACTGCAGGTCACAAAATGGATTCAGACAAACCAGAGGATCAGAAAAAGTGGCAAAAAGAAAAGAAAGCAGGATGAAGTCGTTTTCCAAAAGGTAAGGGTTCATGATATGCGTTTGTGTAATGGGACAAAGGGCAGCACATCCAAAATGCTTTCCGATGATGCCCTCTTAAACTCTGTAGAGATGTTCTTTAGCTTCTTTGACAAGGTGATAGTAAAAGGGTGTTACTGTTACAGTTTCAGTGTCCCTATGTAATTACGATTGAAAGAAATTAATAATCTTTTCAGATGTCTGTAATTTAGGAGACCAAATTTCCGTATATTTGTATTTAACTGGAACATTCTGAGGAAGAAAGAGAAGAGTGCTTTCATCAGAGAAATCAATAGCACTTGAGAGCTTTTGACAGGGCCTGCACCACTATTAGCAAATTTTCAGATACTGGTGGCTGAGAAACAGTTTTCATGGTGGATATTGGGACAATAATAGATGTGATACGTACATTGAAACAAATGGTCTGACTATGCTGTTGGCTCTTAATTCAGAGGGTGAGTTTGAAAATAATCTATTTGTAATATAGATTTCAATTAATGAAAATGTGTCTGGATGGTTATTTTTAAAATTACTACGGAGGATTTTTAAAACTGAATACAACCTAAATTGAACTGTTTTTAAACCAGATTTAGCTGTTGTGAAACCTTTGCTCTATAATGTTGAGTTGACCATTTAAATCACAACATAGAGAGGTAAGTAATTAGCTGACACTTTTACTAAATAGCTGTTTCTTGTTCTCTGAAGAAAAAAAATGTGAATAAAGGTGTATTTCCAAATGCATTATTAGAACTATGGGGTTTTTGCTTGCTTTGGTTTTACAAACAAATTTTTAATTACTTTTTTAAACCCTTGTTACCTTTAAAGGATTAGAATAGCAGTGTGTTGTTTTGCTGTTCCGACAGAGCTTTTAGAATGCATGATGAATCATTGCTGTTTCTGTAGCCAAATTCTTGCTGATAGCATGGCTGCCAACTCCTGGGATGCGTTGCCTCAGTATGGGCATTGCAGTATATGACAAATGTCTGCAAAGTGCATTGTTGTGTGTGGGTGATTTACCAGCTCTATGGTGAGTTAAAAAAGCACCAAATAGCATCCTTTAATTCACTACTACTTTTATTTTGTAACTGGAATACATTGTTTAGGAAAGATGTTCTTTGTTGTTCTACTTTAGAATGACATGATCTATACAGAAATAGCATAAGCTGTTACACCAAATAATTCCATTTCTGTTTATATTTCCGTATGTGAATGTTTGTTTGCATGTATGTGTAGCATTTGTATTTACAATTGTTTTATGTTAAGGTGAAGAAGAATTTTTTGAGTTAAAAAATGTATCATCATGTGAATTTGTGAGCAAAATGCATTGACAGTACAAGTAGCCCTAGTACAAGCTACAGCCTGCATACATTTTGAAGTAATTTTTAAATGGTACAAATTAGGTCCCCTGCTACATCTTAACAGTAGGCTTAAAGGTACCTTATGCTGTTACACACCCCTCCTCATTTCTTTTTATAGGGGAAAGCTTCTTCAGTGCAAAACCCCTTTGTACCAATAAAATTCCGTTTCTGTTGGGGGGGTTGTTCTCCTCCTGCTGCTTCAGGGTTTGTGAGAGAGAACTTCAGCATGTAGGCTTGCCGTGTTAGAAATGCAAAACCTAATGTGTAAACCTAAGATATACTCACTGTTTTTTTAAAGGTCTGTGAGCAGAAATGTGAGTTAAAATTGAAGCCAAGAATACACATTGTCTTCTAATATCTGTAAGGTTAGTAATTCTTGGAGATTCAGTGCAGATTCACAGCGCTGCATCAGCAGAGTACTTAACCCCACGGGAAGGAAAAGGTGTAACAATAACCTTATGTTTGGTAGTGAAATCATTGACTGGGCACCAAGGGTGGAATTCTTCATGTTCCTTAGAAGTTTCGTCATTGCAATGGTGACTTTTCCAATACAGTTAGAGATGAGAGAAGGGAAAAAGGGCGAGGGACCTCCCTGGTGTTGGCAGAGCTTTATTGTATTACTTGGTTTCAGAGTTGGTTACAACTGGGTTTCCAACATGGACACCAGTCAGTGTGGATGGTGCTAACCTCTGTTCCACTGGAGTTCTTGATTTTTAGCTGTGTCCGTATTGGCTTGTAGCAGAAATGGCACCATACAACATTTTAAGTACTTCTTCAGGGATAAACAAGAGAACAAGAAAGAAAAAAAACACGTAATGGAAAAGTAAGGCACCCTTGAAGAAAGTAGTAGAGGTAGGAATAAAACCATGGAGTGAGAAGAGGGAGGTGAGAAGCAGAGCAATAAGAGAAGTCAGAGAGCTGCTACCAGCTCTTATCACAAGTGTAATTAAAATAAGGATACTGACGTATTGTGCTACATCTAGAAAACTGAGCTTTGTGTTGATCTTGCTTATCCTTTCAAAACAAGCACTAACTTATTAAATGTAGCTTCTAAACTTTCATGTGCCTGTGCTGTCCGATTTTTCCTCTATCATTTTTTTTCTTTGTGATAGGAAGTCCTATTTCTAATACAAGATGGATGACTTTGCTATACTGAGACACCGCCAAATCAAAACAACTGCTTCTGCATCCAAGTACAAAATCTAGGACAGAGAGATAACTCTGTATGGAATAAGTGAAACAGAAATGTGGAGGAAAGGTTGCTGACAACTGCCGGGGAATTGCTTCTTGAAAAAAGTTGCCTTCTAAACAGTTAAGTTTGTAGGAGCTGACTTTACATATGCATATATGTATTTAAAGAACACTTGAAGATACCATGTGCTGGATAAGAACTGTGTAACTGGTAGCATTAATTGCACTCGGGGCATATGAACCAGTGGGGAAGGTCATGTAGAAAGGTGCGGTGCTGCTCTCCAGTGTGGACCCACACATGATGGATTACAAGCAGTGTAACAAATACCATGGGCGGGGAAGTAACTCAGGGTTCTTGTTCTTTTGTTCTTCTCTCTTTTTCTTTGAACTTTTTTCCTTTCAAGCCTTTTTCTTACTCTGTCTCTGAAGTATTTTATTTTTTCTTAGCAGCTTTTATGACAATCTTTCCTTTCCACTTCTCTTTGACCCCTCTTTTCTTTCTCTGTTATCCTTTGTCTCCCTCAGTCACCTTCAGTACTGTACATTACTTTCTGTTTACCTTCAGTCACTTTTTCTGTTTCGTAAGCTATCTTTTGCTCACCTTGTTTTCTGTTTATACTACCCTATAGATACTTTTCTTACGATACGTATGCATGCACATACACAAGTTTAAACCCACTCTTGCATTTCTGCTTTTGTCAGCCTTCCTATTCTCGTACATTCTTTACTCCTCATTTAATCTTACGTTGTCTCTTCATCTTGTCATTTAGCTGGTCAGCACATCTAGCAATCAGTATGTGTATCAATACAGGAATGTTGTTTATGTGAGAAAATTAGAGAAGGTAGAACAGAGCTTGGAGAGAATTGGTTGGTTAAAATTAGTGTTGTTTTACGAAGAGTGTGATAGAAATGCTAAGTGTTGTTATTATCTTTGTTGTTACACTGGACTGTGCCTGCTTGAAAAAAGATTCCGTTACCCATGCCAGTGCTGAATGTTAGTAAGAAGGAAACGATCTTTCAGTCAGACTAGTGGAATTGTAAGCATGCGACCTGTATCCGCTATGGTATTTGAGGGGAAACATATCTTTTTATTAGGAGACTAATTCACTTTTACGTGAGTGCAGTGTTAAAACATAAAAGCTGCTTTGAAAGTATTCCAGTGGTAGAAAAAGTGTCGTAGGATGAGATACCAAGGGTACACAGTAGTTAAGGAGAGCATTGAAATATGTGTGTGTATATACTAGGTATATACACTATATATACTAGGTAAGGAAGGTGATTTGTGCAAATTATCAAAATTGCATTTGTCTGTTTCAGTTTTAGTTTGATTCTATACTGAAACTTTGAGGAATAATTCAACTTTTCCAGCATAATTTCTGCTGCTTTCTCAGAAATACTGTTTTCATGTGTTCAAAGTTTGTCTGCTAGCTTACTAAAAATGTGATTGTCTTTGATTTTTTTCCTATTGGTTGTTGCTATTGATCATTCTTCTCACTCCAGAGATTTACAATTGTCAGCATTTAAGCTCTGTTAATAACCTGAGCAAAAATTACTTTGTTGAAATAGCTGTTAAGTTTCTAATAAAAAAATAAAACAAAACAGTTGTGATATGTATGACTAATGCTAAATGCTATAACTCTTTTGTCCTTTAACAACGAATTCACCAGTGTAACTGAAACACAAGAAACAAAATTTGTAATTCATTAAAATGAGTTGTGGTGTTATACTTCAAGTAGAAAATGTTTTGAAGTCTCAGCAAAAAATAGGTAGGGAGAAGAAAATACAATGTGATAAAGAGAACTTTTAACTAGGGAATTTATTCAGGATGATGTGCTTCTGCTAATTCAGGTAAAGGAATATTAACATATAATGCATTAAAATTACTTTAAAACTTTAATTACCATGTATTTTTTGTTTCTCGAAATGAGTGTTTTTACTTGAATGTGCCAAACTGAGAATCAAAGCAAGGATCAAATCTGAAATACACCTCTTGAGCTTGTGCACTGTGTAGTGCTTAACAGCTAAAAGAAACATGGTAAGAAGTCCTAAAGCGTTCTTCAGAGAGTGTTCAGTGGAGTCATTTGCTATACCTTACCTTTCCAAATTCTGTTAATCTCACAGAACTTTCTAGGAACCTTGTAAATGTATTTGTTGGCCTTCACTGATGACAGATAACATTTAATTCCTTTGGCAAACAGGGATTCGGATGGAAAGTTTTATACCCACCTCATGTACAAGAGCTGAATTGCAGTAAGTGTTGTTAAGCTATCCAAGAAATAAAGCCTGTCATTTTAAAAACCTTTCCCCTGAATACATTAATATAATTTTAGGCCATTAAAATGAAACACTTTCAGCATTTAGTTTTCCATCTCTGTAAAAATATCTGTATTTATGGATTGTTTGGAAACTGGAAATGTACAGCTCCAAAAAAATATTATTTTCTAAGATAGTGCC